CCTCATGGAGGACCGCTTGTGACGCCGGTACACAAGAAGCTGCCCGACCTCTGAGAATGTATGGGTCATCAACGTCGGAAGAAGTGAGCGCGCATACTGACCCAGGTTCTGAGAGTCGTCTAGGAAGGAGAACTCTAGAGATCGCCCTTCTGAGGACCTTGAGCGGCAATGTCCGAGGACCACCGGGTCAGACGAGAACATCTGTCGCACAGCAGACCATTCACTGCGTAGACTGGCCAGCGTCACCATGCGCTCCGCTTCCTGGGTCTATCATTGAGCACATTTGAACGCTGCCGTATGTGAGCCGACATACCGCGCTGTCTCTGGTGGCTATGACGCCTGCGACGCAAACGAGGGGCTGCTTCCAGCCATAGCAGATACCTTCTAAATCAGTGAGATCGGCGGGCCATAGGACAAGGGCAGACATCGGGTTTATGTCAAACGCAACCGCCGGTCGTAGGTCATCAGGCCCACTCTCTTCGAGATGTCCCAACGACTTCGCGGTAGTGGTGATGGAGTGTATACAACCTTGTCTCAGACGCTGGCCGCCCGCAGTACGAGCGTATCGGCGCTAGTAGTTTAAACCCAACCCGGCTTGGTCTCGTACCCAGACGTATGGGTGTTACACCCGCACCCATACGTCTGGGTACGAGACCAAGCCGGGTTACGTTACAAAGCAGTATCTATGATGTCGGCTCTGATAACACTCTATCAAGAAGCGCCCGCTAGTAGCCGTCCGAGTCCTCGGCCGCACGAGGAGTCTTGACGCGCACCCTAGGCCTCTGACATGCTAGTAATGCCAGGAGTTTGTCTTTACTCTAGCCTCGCGTATAGCCTTTTCGTAGACTCGCGCATCGTCCCTCAGCGGATCGCATCTGTTGTAGGTTACGATAGCCGGTGGGACTCCAGCATGCTAGGAGAAATGCAGTGGAGAGAACCTTGGAAGTCCTTAGGGACTATTTGGAGAAAGACTGTTGCGGTGGCATAGTGACAAGTGATGCACGCGGTGGGACTTGAATAGAAGTATGTAGCACCTAATTACCCTCACACCAATACAACATGACCACACGAGGCGTCTGTCTAGTGGACGCCCATTCCGAGTCACTCAAGTAGATCTTCGCAGAACTACAGTTGTGCTGAAGGTAGTTGCATCGACGGCCGATGTAAGTGAACTTGCCGTGCCTACAGCAGTTGGAGGAGCAGTCGTAGTAGGAGCAGCAAACAACGTTGCGGTGGCAAGGAAGCTGTCCCAAGATGCAATCGTCGCAGGCGGCGCGATCACAGTGCCCTCCGTTGCCGCAGACCCATAGAAGACCTGGCCACCGCCAAAAAGGTAGTCCCCGGCAAGCGTCGCGTTTTCGCCGCCGACGACGGTCCCGTTGTCCAGCACCGTCCCGTTGGGGTTGTCGCCCAAGATGAACTCGCGGAGGAACACGAGCGACTGCTGCGGCTTGTACTCCGGGATGAGGTGTCCCGCGCCGTCGAACAGCACGTACGACACGTTCCGCTCCTGGTGCACGACCCCTGCGAACGCGCCGTCGTCGTCGTACCACGGCGTCGACGGCTTCTTTGTGAAGCCTTGGATGCCCCCGAAGGTGAAGTTCTGGATGACGACCTCGGTGCTCCGGTGGGCGTCCTGGGAGTCGTCGTTGCCCGAGTAGAACACCCACGGCACGCCCTTCGCAGATGAGTTCGCGAACAGCTCGGTGAAGAAGACGATGGGCTCGATGGAGAGGTCGCCGTGCATGTTCGGGGTGTTGTTGAGGTAGACGTTCCCGAAGGGGTACGTGAAGGCCGACGTCCAGTTCTTGGAGAGGGGCGCGTGCAGGGCAGCGCGCACGCGCGGGTCGTTGAGGAAGACGGAGGCGTCGAGCGTAGGCTCTGGGAACGTCGCGTCGGGGATGTCGAAGGTGTCGAGACCGCCGTTGGCTGTTTCGTGCCGTCGTCAGAACGCCCATCATACGGAATCAGTACTGGGCGGCTTACTCCAAGGGAAGGTGAAGTTCAGGGCGTAATCCCACATCTCCTCCCAAACATCACAGCCATACCAGGGATCGACTGTCCCGTTCGGGCGGCCTGATAGATCGCGCTTCCATTGCGCCCGCGCCTCTTCGCGTCGTTCGAGTACGTCCAACCTCTTTACATCGACGTTGTTTTGTACGCGTGCAGCATACTTGGATGCCAGCTGTTGCTTCAGAGAAGGCGTGGTAAACAGAGCCTGGTTCACTAGGGCTGATGTGTTGGTCTGATTGACAATCTGGCCTAACGGCAATTTGAGCGGTGGGAACGTCCCATCCGTCTGAGGATATGTCAAATTGAGGTCAAATCCACACAGATGATGCCTGTAATATGGTCAGAACAGGAATGATGAACAAGATGACATGTCTAACGTACTGCTCCTTGAAGTAGTTGAAGACGTCGGGGTCATAGCCGATGAGATCGGGGAACGACTCGAGTAGGGTAATCTGATTCAAATATCTGTCAGTTTGAGGGCATAGGTGAGGGCCAGTAGAACGCACCACTGGGGTCTCGCGGTTTGTGGCGTACGAACCAATGAAACCATTTCCGATGGCAATTTTGCGTAGGTTGACTGGAGGATCTTCTAACGGCAGAAGATGCTTTAGAAGATAAGGCTGTGGAAGCGGTGAGTGTAGATCAAGGAGTAGAGATGCTGAGATTTACGATATAATGGCCGGCGTAACTCTCTCCTGCCAGGTACAGAGGTCGTGTCGCGAGACTCGGGAAGACCTTCACGAGATTCCTTAGGAAGTTGATCTGAAGGTGGCAATATCAGCGAAAACATGTACACAGGCCGATGTTTCAGGGAGACATACGAAGTCTACGGCCATCTGGTCTTCATCGGCCACTGTACAAAGAATGTGCATGAGCGGAGGTCGCGTGATACGTTGAGCATAAACCAACCATAACCGGTCGTGTCGGCAGTCGAGAAGCCGGTTCCTGTTCACAATTTCTTGAGAAATCTTCGGCTACAAAAGAGAAGGAAGCTCTCACCAACGGGTTGATCGATCCAAATGGTATCGGCCAACTTGTTCCAGCTGTATGGATTGACGGTCCAGGTGTAGTTCGGTAAAACGTGAATTGGACCATTCTGCGATGTACAGTGAGTTCGTGACGACTGACTACCAACCGAAGCGACCCTACTTCGACAGCCAATCCAAGCAAGCCAGACGAACCCGGCCTATCACGCCATCAGCCACTTCGTCCGTCATGAATGCCTCGCAGGACTTACCCTCCCTGGACCCACAAGATCCATGGCTCATCGTTGTGCGGGAAAGCAGGCGCCGTGAGCCCTCCAGGCTTTCCCTCACGCTCGAAACCCCAGAAGAAGAACGTGTCGTTTGGGTGGCCCGGGCGGTCCACTGGTATGTTGCCTGCGAAGCTACGTGGGAGACGGGCGTGCGTGAGATTGGGCAAAGGGCCCTTCACCTCGAAGTCTACATAGCGTATACGATTAATACAACATCGCCACGATGATGTAGAAGCGAGACTTACAGTGTTGCCACAGCGGACTCAGTGGACCTCTGGGTTGCCCCGGCCACACATGCGGGTACGAGTTAGGTGGTGTCTGTGCACGCACAGCTCCTAGGCCCGCCAGCAAGATTCCTCCGCAGCACGCCAGAAGACCTGGGACGCCGTACATGACGTTGCAAAGGAAAGCTTCACGGTACCGAGTCCCGCCTCCTGATCCAGTCTCCGAGGCCCCTTATATACATAAGCCCCACTCAGCCGCCGCAGCGGGGATATCGGTCGGTCGTACCAGTGCGAGTAAATGGGCATCAATTTGCACGTACGGCCATCGAAAACTGTAACCGGCGGACGCCTGTAGACGCCCGTCCGGCGAGTCATAAGACAGATGCGCGCCGTGTCTTGAGGACTTCCCTGTGATGCTGGCGTACACGTGGGATAGCCACTGTAGCCCCGCGCCGTAATCTCGATACGCGGTCAGAAATCCTGAACGAACACAGCGTAGCCGACGTCGTATGCATGATGGTGGAGAGAAGTTCCGGAGGAGTCGATGTGGCAGTGCTGCGGAAGGTTTGATTCGCGCTTGTCAAGTGCTTGTTCTGGCCCTTGGAACGTCCACACGGATACAACCATCACCAAGCTCATGATTTTTTCAACATGGACGATGACAAGCTTGATCTTACTGTTTACAAGTTCATTCCACATGCGGAAGATGCCTCCCAGGTCCTCTCCGAGAAGATCCTAGACGAAGCAACCAGTTTGGTCATCTCAACCACTCGCGAAACCGTGTGGTATACACCTGTTCGCGTGGATTATGCTCAATTTTGTAGGTCCCCAGCTACTTTTCACTGTTTATTGATTGCTTTTGGGTTGAGAACCTCGCCAAAGGTGTTACATTGCGTCTGTCCGCAGAGCAGAGTGCCGTTGCTGCTTGACTGCCCGCCAGTCGTCCAACTTGAATTTCCTGAAACCAGCATATATGAATGACTGACGTCTCCCTCGTAGCCAAACGCGGGACATGTTTCCAGTATCATCGCGCCCCCGACGCTCACCTAGTAGCGGAAACACGTCCATCTGCGTCCACCACTAGGTATTTGAAGGAGTGGGATGAAGACATCGCCGTTCCAGATGAAGAAGTCTGCTCACTCGCGGACCTGGAAGAATTCGATCATGGAAATTTGCATCGACTCTTTTCTGCACGCGCAGTCGACGTACCTCCCGTCATGGAGCTCAACACGCCTCTCGCAGACAGAGTCGGACGTCAGCCTGTCGCAGATGATTCCCGGAAAAGGTCTCAGGACGATCTTCGTGTCTCGTCTATCTCAGTCAAACGCCGGAGGATTGATGATAAAGATATCCCTTTGCGAGGAGTTCTGCCGATGGTGAGTGCTCGCCACTACCTTCCGCCCACGATACCGACAGTCTATGCCCGCATACAGCCACACTTCTACGCCTCTCTCTTAACATCAGACAGTACTCCGCCACTTTCGCACTGGGCTCGATGGCCAGTCAAGGAGGGCGTTATTGCGCTCCCGCCTCACACACTCAAAAGTTGTGAGGAGTACATGGAAGACCCATATGCGCGGCTCGCATGGATAGTGCCCATCCGTGGTTGCCTCCAGTGGGATGGCGCGACATCAGCCACGGTCCTTTCCGACATACCGGACGGCGACACTGCTGAAGATTTTCTGCCTTCACCTGCTGCGCCTCGCCCAGACGGCATTCTGGAGTTAGCTTGGACGAAAGACGCCCTTCGGCAGCTCTGGGATGTCCTCAAGGGCCTCCGCGATGCAAAGAATCTCGGACCACTTTCATTATCCTTCCATGTCGTTCCACTTGGAAACGCTACTCACTCGATGGAGCAGTACTCGTACGCTGGGTCGCACAAGCAAACGACGCCGTCGCGGCCGGGTTCTTCTCCCGTCTCTCCACCCGCCGCTCCCGAGAGCTCCGCCAGTTGTCCTCCGCCCTCTCCTCTCCGGGAAGTGGATCACTTTAAGGTCTACCATGACGCGCCCTACACAAAGGCAGTACGGAACGCGTTGCATGGCTGGTCGTACCATAAGGGTGACCAGAAGATCCGACTACTCAAGGGCGCAAGACTCGTATTAGTTGACGAGCTTTCGCAAGGCCTCCTGCTCTGCTGAGTCGTACTACAGGCCGTCACGGACTTCCGTCGCCTGTTTCTCTGCCGGCCTGGCCTTTACGCGAGCATGGTCGTCGACATCAGGACTTGTAGCTGAGCGTGACGCAGGAACGCGGGGGCTCACGCGCGCGTGCAGAGTCATGTGGACTGTTTGTCACATCACCAGCTGACCCGAGGAGCGCGGGCCGCGCAGGCAGGCGCCTGTGGCATAGTGTTTCGTTCGGGGGGATTCTTGTGTTGCATTGACAGCGTAGTGCCCGCCTCGTTGCCGCATGCGCAGTTCGGACAGAAGAGCGGCGTTGGACTCCCGGGTATGTACTGGTGACCATGCTCGGGCCTATTCGAAGACTGACGAATCACTATGCTCCAGCGAGATACCCAGGAAAAGGGCCTGGCGTTCACCACGCGCAGTTCAGCAGGTCAGGCTGAGTATGAGATCTGATGCTCCAAGGTTCCGCCGATGACCTTCTCTACTTGTGACCTGTCATATGTGTCCATAGCTCTTCTCCTCGTCATCGTCGCTGGTGCCATCATCAATTACGATGCGGTAGCTGCCGGGATCGAAGGTTCGCCTTTCTACGGAGGCGGTACGTACGCCGTCCACGCGTATAAAACAACGCGATGCGGGACACGGATCGCCGACAGGCTCAACTGACCCTGGCCCTCGTCTCTCAGCGCGATTCCTCGTCACCGAGCTGTCCATAACGCTAGACAGCATGGTCTCGACGCGCTTCCTGCCTTACTTCACTCTCCTGGCGGGCGTCCTCAAGGCCGCGACTGCGGCTCCCGATGGCTCCGCGCCGAACGTCGTCGACCTCGGCTATGTAAAGTACAGAGGGAACTTGTCGTACCCGGACACAGTCGCATATCTCGGCGTGCCGTACGCTGAGCCGCCTATGGGAGAGCGCCGCTGGAGGGCACCTTTGGCATTGAACACTTCCCGCGTCTCGAGCGAAGCTGGGGGGCAGACAGTCAACCTGACCACAAATCCGGACTTCTGTGTTCAAGGAAGCACTGGAGGTAAGCCCTCGCTGGTTCGTATCCGGGTCCGATGAGTCCGGGCTGACGTACCTGACGCCATGGCACAGCCGGCGACGCAGGGGGTGCCGGAAGCGAAGACTGTCTGAAGCTCAATATCTATGCACCGGCCGGCGCAAAGAAGGGCGACAATCGTGAGTCGTGTACCATATGGGGTCGCACGTACGTACGCTGACCTTACGTGGAATCACACCACAGTGCCCGTGCTCGTCTACATTCATGGTGGAGGTTCGTGATCTCGTACCCCTACCTTCTCTTTGGGCAGCTGACGGAATTTGACAGGCTACGTTTACGGCAATCCGGCTAACTGGCCGTTCGACCACTGGATCCACCAGTCTCCTAATGTCGTGATCGCGTCCGTCTATTATCGACTGGACTCTATCGGGTTCCTTACCGTTCCCGAATTCGAGACGGAGGGCCTAGGTGATCTCAACGCAGGCTTCCTCGACCAAATTCAGGCGCTCAAGTTCGTCAACGAGCACATCGCCTCATTCGGCGGTGACCCGAGCAAGGTCACCATTAACGGCCAGAGTGCTGGTGGCTCAAGCGTTGAGTTGCACTTGACTGCCAACACCGGCAGGAACTTGTTCCATCAGGCAATTGCGCAGAGTGTGTACAGGACCCCCCTGCCGACTCCCGAGCAGCAACGGGTGTGTGGCGTCCATCACGAGTACTTTGCCAGAGTGCATGTTGATGACCGGATAACAGCCCATGTTCGACTACTACGCCGAGCAGGCAGGCTGCGGCACTGGCTCCGTTGCGACGAAGGTCGCATGCCTTCGTCAGGCCGACGTGAGCGCTCTCTCGCATGCTCAGGATCTCGTGATGTACAACTTGTAAGCACTGATCCTACTCTGATTGCAATCATGCACGCCACTGAATGCGATGGCAGCACTGGGTTGTACAACTCCTTCCACCCGGTCGTCGATGGCAAGCTGTTCACCGAGACGCCCACGATCTCCCTTCTGAAGGGCAACTTCGCACACGTTCGCGTCATCGTTGGGTAAAATGCTCTCCCTTTCTCCTGAAAACGAACCCACTGATCACAACGAGATCAATAGGTCGACATCCAACGAGACCCTCTCCGGCGGCGACAACATCACCCAAGCCCTGAAGGAGTACTTCCCCGGTCTGACGCAAACCGACCTGCAGCAGTTCCTCGAGGTGTACCCCGAATCCGACTTCGATAACGCGACGCAGCGCTTCGAGGTCGCCACTGGCGAACCCGACGTCCGCTGCGGCCGCTCGATCATCGGGCTCGCCGCAGCGCAGAAGAGCAAGGCCTTCACATACCGCTACAACCAGCGTCCGAGCACGCAGGCCGCGGACGACACGGAGGTCCACCACTCGGCCGAGAACTGGATGATGTTCCGAGGCACGAGCACGGGCTTCAACGGCACTACGACCTTCCAGCCCCAGACCCCCCAGGACGAGGCGTTCGCCGCTGAACTCATCGCGTATTGGCTCTCGTTCGTGCGCGCGGGTGATCCGAACACGTTCAAGCTCGACCGATCGCCCGAGTGGCCGGCGTATACTATGGGAGGCAAGGAGCGCATCGTGCTGCAGGAGCCGAAGACGAACGATACGAGTGTAAGCGGGAGCATAGCGGAGCAGGAGCCGAGATTGGAGACGAGCCGATGTGCCTTCGTTGCGAGCAAGGCGGTTCATCAGCAGGCTTGAGGGCCTCGGGATCGCCAAGAGATTAGGTGCTTGGAGAGGTAAGCAAGGCGGTGGGAGGCAAAAAGCTGAACAGTCAGGAAGCATGTGATCTCATGAGAATGGTGCTAGTACACGCCGATTACAAATAACAAGGGTTTCTCTACCGGTACCATACTATTGGGATATATAGGCGATAGCGGAGAAAAACATGGAGAATACGCTATGATGTGCAGAACGACGGGCTCCAAAGCGGAGGTCACAACATCCGCAACGGAAATGAAGTATACAGGAGCGACAATCCAATGAGAGAATCAGTAGTAGTCCTCATCCGAGTCGAGCGAATCATAGCCTCCACCGCCGGTGCGTCGGGGAACAGACCCATCGTCTCCGTACAGTTCACTACAATCGAGTTTACTCAAGGTCAGGCAGCGTAGGGGCTCCGAATAATCCCAACTCACAGTTCACGGGCCGCCACTTCGTCTGCAAGGTTGTCCTCCTCTTCCTCGTCGTGGCTATGTGAAAAGTCGCTTGCATCCTCGTCATGGTGATCTTCACCGTCGCTGGCCGGCAACCTCGTTGCGTGAGCGCGGCGCCTGCCAAACCCAACGAAACGCACGGCTTCATCGTCTTCATCTTCGTCGTCCTCATCATGAAGACCATCGACGCCATCCTGAGACTCGCCGTCGGACAAATCGATCGCATGATCCTCGTCCAGATCAACGGCACGTCCCAGACGGCTACTCCCAGCGCGAGGTGCCAGTTCAGCGTCGCCATCGTCGATGAAGCTGCTCTCATACCCCTCCTCGTCCTCGGTATCTTCGTCACCCACGATGCGTCCAAGCAGTCTGGCAACAGTTCGGCTAGCCGCGCGCTGATCAGCTTCGGCGTGAGGATCGAAATCCTCGTCATCCGACTCGAGCTCGATCTCGGTATCGCCGCCCTCGTCCCAGTCATGGCCCACCGGGTGATTGTCGATGAGGTAGTCGGCACCGTGATCGTGGGGATGGTGGTGCTGCCACTGGGGGAATAAGTGCTGCAAGAGCGCACCCAAACCACCAGCCACACCGACCGGTCCATTGGCGCCCCATACCGGGAACCCCTCTTCGTCAGAGTCGTAGTCGGAGGCATCGTGCTCGGGATCGTGACCGGGGTACTCTTGGCCGCAGTTGGCGCACATACCATCGACGATCTCGTAGTGACATTCCACACAGCGGAAGACGTCATCCTCGTCGTCTCGCATACCCATCATCTGGTGCTCGCGCATTGGAAGTCCGAATGGAAGACCTGGAAAGGCATCGCGTCCCTGCTGTGCGGGACGTCGGAAGATACCCGCCCAGGGGTCAGCATTGGCCGTGCCTTCGGGCTGCGCAGGAGTATCGTTGTAGAAACCCGTGGCAAGACCGCTCTTGACGAGGGTGGCCACCATTTCCTTCATAGTCCATATTTCGACTGGGCGTTCCGTAACTACCGCCCGACAATGGGGGCAGGTTTTCCTTCTGTAAAACGCGGGAAGCACTTCGTGTGCGGGAAGGTCTGGTGGAGGAGTCTTGAACCAATTGACCAGGCATTGGTAGCAGGCGGAGTGACCGCAGGGTGACAGCGCGTATGGTCTGTGCATCAAATCCAAGCAAATCTGGCAAGACAGAGATTGCTGCAACGAGGATACGAGGCTTTCATGTTGTGATACAAGCTGTCCAAGGAATTGTGAGCCCATGATGCAGATATACGGAACCGCAAAGCGCGAGAAGTGAGTCATTCGTAGATAGTCATATCATATCATCGGCGTGTTATGGATATTCCTCACGGCAGGTGCGCTTCGTTGAGCACACCCATGGGAGAAACACCCTGATATATGGAGACGCACATTTTCTTTGTCCGAGACCTGCCTTTGGAGCTCAGTAACTTCTAGTTGATCGTTCTGGGTAATCACAGGGTCCGGAGTTGCTCGAGCTTTGCCCTTCTCCATGCTCGCGGGACGCTAGGGGAGATATGAGAGCAAGTTTCTTTAGGACGATAGCACGACGTACTGTCGGCGTCCTTCTCTCACAATCCCGAGATGGCGATTTCGGTCTTGTACCCGGCGATACAGATGGGCCCGCTGACGGCTGACGCGTATCGGTTTGAACCGCTTTCATCGAATTGGTCACAACAACGGCGTCCAGACCTGTGCTGACCACAGACCGCGAACGGACGCGTGCAAGCTCAGGCTGCGACGCAACCACCGGAGCTTCTGTGTCGGAGGAGTCGTTAGCTTGAACCACGGAGACTTTGCGCCTCTTCTTGCGCCTCTTCTTCTTCTCCTTAGCATCCTGACGAGTGCCCTGATCCCCAGGAGTCTCCTGTGACCTAGCACGTTTCGTGTCTCGTTCTTCGATGTCCTCCGAGTCTGTCAAGACTCTTTTCTGCAAGTTTGTTCCTCTAGAAACGGGGGTGACCGGACCCAGAACGCGCACAGGAGAGGACATTTGTACTAGCGAGATCAGCGCTGAAAGCTGACGACCGAGAGAACAAGGACAAGAGAATGCGGGACGCGTGGTAGTCGTGGACGAGCAGGAGCGGACACTGAGCGCTTGGTAAGAGCTCAAAGCGGGCTGCGGCGGTCCTCGAAAAGCGGCTGTCGGAGAATGAACCTCGGGTAGATTAGATAAGTTGTATGAATTGACTGCGGCGGCGTCGACGTCGTGCTCGACGCTCCACTCGTTGCTCTCGGACGGAGTTGGACCTCACGGCTGTTCTGATCGTCGACTAAGGCTCGTTCCATCCTCCGCGTGGCTTCGCCCGCTCTGCCCTCGAGGATGAGATCACCCTATCTTAACCAGAGCTCCCCGGTGGAGGTCTTCAATCTCGGCGCAGGCCCATCGGGATACTTCGACGTCCCTACTGCTTCCCGGATGCACTCTCTTCTGGCGGACGTGGCACATCAGTGGGACTCACAATGGACCGCACAAGGCGGTCTATTTGGACCGAGCGCGACGCGCGACACGGTGGCAGGAGTGGTCGAATCTCAACGCTCTGGCGTCGCCCAGGACGTTTGGAAGGACTTCCCCCGGAGTCTACCTGGCATGGGTTCCTCGCCGCGTCAACGTCCAGGATTTCTGCGGGAACTGACAAATACTCCGGCGTTCTTCCTTGCGCAATCTCCCGTGGCAAAGGAGAGCACACTCGTGTCTCCTTCTCTTCCGTTCCTTGCCCCCAATGCCCCCGAGTCTTCCAAACGTCTCATGGCGAAGGCCACCAAGAAGAGGAGGCTTCTCCGTGCCCGTCACTGGGCCGATTCTCAAGCTGTCTGGCTCGGCCTCTACTTCGCCTTCAATCTTTGTCTCACGCTTCATAACAAGGGCGTGCTGGTGCGCTTTCCGTTTCCGTACACGCTCACCGCAGTCCATGCGTTGTTCGGGAGCATAGGCGGACATGTGCTAAGGGAGAAGGACGCATATATACCCGCGCAACTAAGCGTCAAGAGCTGGGCAGTGCTGGTCGCTTTCAGTGTCCTCTATTCAGTCAACATCGCGGTCAGCAACCTATCCCTACAGCTCGTTACTATCCCCGTGAGTACCCGGTAATGAATATTCTGATGCCCTTTTGGATGGCATGAGCGTCGCAGTGATGTATGCGTGCTGACAACAATATGGTAGTTCCATCAGGTCCTCCGTGCCGCAACACCTATATTTACCACTGTTATTGCGACAACACTCCTCGGCATTCGGTTTAGTAACCGCAAAATAGTGACCCTATTCATAGTAATGCTAGGTGTTTCTCTAGCGTAAGTTCACAGTGCTCCTATCAGACCGTGCGCTGACTGTGATGCATCAGAACATATGGTGACTATCACTTTACGACCTTCGGTTTTCTTCTGACTCTCCTTGGCACGTTCCTGGCCGCCCTTAAGACAATCTTTACCAACATCCTACAATCGTCATCCACATCCCCGAGTATCAATACGAGATCGCATTTCGTTCCTCCGCCCCTTCACTTACATCCCCTTGACCTCCTGACCCGCTTATCCCCTCTTGCGTTCATTCAATGCGTCGCCTACGCCTACCTGTCAGGCGAGCTTGGCCGAATACGTTCTGTCTTTGTTGATGGGAACGCGCCACCGTCTGCCGCTGGATGGTGGTACCCGATCCTGTTACTCGGCAATGGGTTCATCGCTTTCGGTCTGAACGTTGTCAGCTTCACCGCCAATGGGAAGGTCGGGGCGCTGAACATGACCGTAGCTGGTGGGTCTCAGAGCACCTTGCCTCGCTCACTAGTTTTGCTGACGGCAGATCTAGCCAACGTAAAGCAAGTCTTGACGATCTTGCTGTCGGTCGCTATCTTCGACCTCACCATCACCCGCACAAATGCGCTTGGTATATTCGTCACCATCGTCGGCGGTGCGTGGTACGCGTGGGTAGAGCAGCAAGAGAAGGCATCGCGGACGGCCGAGAAGAGTACCTCTGGCCGGTAGCCTCTCCATCCACCGCCGTTCCATGGAATCTGACTAGATCGCGAACATCATAGACGCTTGTAGCACATCTATACCAAACATTTGATACCAGGACTCTTCCATCACTACACCTCCGCTATTCTAGAACATCGCTATGAATAGCTTTCAGAAAGACGTGTGTCCAACTTGCCGATCTGGTGGACATGCACAGTACTGTGACCCAAGGAGGCTTTACCAAGGCTAAGTAAGTAAGAAGCACTAGCAGATATAGATAGGTTCCTGAGATGCCTACCGATGAGGATAGTGGATGCACACGGCCTCGTACCTTGTCGTGGCCCACACTAATAGGTCAGCAACGATTTGCATGGAACGCAAGTACTTATCGAGCAGCGCGCGGTTCTTGCCGGGATGGTTCGACGTTGGTCATCCAAGTCCTACATCTCCGTCTACTTGGTGCTTGCGAGAAGCGTGGATATTATGGGCGTCATCGCGATTTTCAATGTCCCGTAGGGGTGGTAGCAACCGCCGTCGCCTTCGCTACTACATGCCAGCATCTGCCACGGGGTACAGGACAGAGGGACATGGCCCTGAGGAGGCTGGAATCAATGTGTTGCTGTATGGTGCAGATTGGATGCCATATCATCGTTACTACATATTCAATCAAGCTGCACCGCAGCTTATTCTAGCGCAAGTCGCTGCAGTACAACTTCGGCAACGCTTGCTCCGCCCTCTCACTACTTCAAGTTGTTCACTCCCAAATCCTTCCTGACTGACAAAAATGGTCAAATTGTATTAGGGAGCCGCAAGAAGACATATATAGATATCCGAAAGAGCATCTACATCAAGGTACGACAAGTACCGCCCAAACTGAAACTTATAAGATACTAAAAGATATGCAAGAACCGCGTCGAGCCCTCGGGCGCCGATCTACGAGTCGTCGCCGTCGAAGTTGGTCGCGGGGCCGTCGAACTGGACGGTCGTGCAGTTCATGCTGCCGTTCGAGCAGTGCGGGATGAGGGTCTCCTGCGCACCGTCTGCCAAAGCGAGTCGCGGTCAGCCAACAGTTCTGGTTCTGCACAACAGACGAAAGTACGGGCACTCACGGTCGGTGGTCAGCGTGGGGAACTTCTTGGACTTGCACGAGAGCTCGAGGTCCTTCGGGCCCTTGGTCGCGGGGAACGACGCGGGCTTGCCCGTCGCGGGCTTCGGCTTGGGCACGACGGCGGAGCAGTCGACGAGGTCGTCCGCGTTGTGGCCGAGCACAGCGAGCTTCGCCATCGCGGCCTTGAACGACTGCGCCATGAACTCCTGCTCGTTCACGAAGCCCTGCCAGAAGCACGCCGTGCGCTCGTCGTGCGCGAGCCCGAAGTCGGACTGGAGCCGGAGCTCGCCGACGTCCGTGCCGCTGCTGACCGGGAGCGGGGAGGACACCTCGCCGGTGTTGTTGCCCGTGCCAGGGAAGCCGACGCCCTTGAGGAGCACCTCGAGGAAGATCTGGGTGTCGAACGTGAAGGGGGTCTATGGCGCGCAGGTCGAGTGAGCGGGCATCGTGAACGGAGGAGAGGGGGCAACTTACGCTGTCGAAGGGCGCGGCGTCGAGCGTCGGGTCGACGTGATCGGCACGGGCAACGGTGTGCGAAGCGAGGAGGGAGACGACCTCGAAGGGCGAGAAGCCTCCAGCATCGTCGAACCGCTCCAGAATCTCAGTGATGTTGTTCTGGGGCTCGGGAATCAGACCTTCGATGGCGGGCGCGGTCGCGTTGGGACGGCCAGCACGGAACTCGAGCTGGGGGGCACCCTATTGTGCGAAGTCGCATCAGCACGGCAACGCAGACTCTGAAAGGAGCAGGGAGTGCTTACGGGGCAGTTTCCGACGGCGACGGCACCTGCGAACTGGACGAGATCGCCGGCGGAGATCTTGGGGAACTGCGAGAGGAAGGGGATGAGGTTGTTCACCGAGTCGGCGATACCAAGGTTGGCGAAGAAGGCGGGCTCGACGGTCGGGAAGATGAGCATGGAGCCGTCAGCTCCTCCACCGCTGTGCACCAACTAGGGTCAGTGCCAAAAGCTTTAGTCAACCACATGTGATCGATACTTACGCCGAGGGGCCCTTGCTGCGCGAGATGGCGATGGCATCGTCTGCAATGTACCGTCAACATGCCGTCAAAACGCAGCCGACAGGTGTAGCTTACGGAAAGTGAGACGGAGGAGCTCGTGAGCTGCAATAACCCAACGTCAGGCTGTTATTCTCGATTCTACACGGGGACGGCCTACCGTCTTCGCCGCAATCGCCCATGAGCACCTCTTTCTGAAGTGCCTGTGCAAGCTATAGGAGAGCAAGCTTGAGTGCCCGGCATCGGCGTAAAGCGCAGCGCAGCCGCGACTTACGGGCACGAACTCGCAGCACACCGAGTCGGGGACGACGGTGCCGTCCGAGCACACCGTCTGGCGACTCGGGGCCGCGGTCGCCACGGTGGCGAGCGCGACGAGCGGGAGCATGGACCACAGCTTGAAAGCCATTGTGCTTGTTGTTGGCGTTCTGGTTCTGGTTCTGGAGGTCGGTGTGCTGGAAAGGGGCGAGTAGAACGCGAAGTCCAGAAGAGAAGGGGGAGTGGCGAGCAGAGCTGGAGAGAACTCGTTGTCCTGAGGTATTGCTGGATGCTCTGCCCGTCCTTTATACCTCTCTCCGTGGTCGCGTCTATTTCCGTCGCCGCGTACGAGCAGGCGTCGCAGTAGCACTGGCGTTGCGTTGCGTTCACAAGGATGTGGAAAAGTTAAGGACGCCGGTATAGAGAAGGACGCGTGCTTGGTTGTGTGCCTGTGAGCGATCCATCGGCTCGGGTTGCGGGAGATCATTGTACGTCTTGCTGGGCGCACAGCCAATCGGGCCCTGGGGGTTTCAAGGGCAGGCAGTTAGAGTGCGTGGGCACGACGTTTTGCGATGCACGTCCCTCCAGTGCGTCGGGGTATCAGAGATGCGCCGCCGTGTGTATGAGATGCATGAGAGTGACTCGGCGACCGCGTTCGCATAGACGTCATGTGCCCTATACCTATACCGGGCTTCGCACACATCCATGCTCTGCGCTGGCAGTGTATACGCGTCCCGCTCACCTCGAGCTTGAGAGCACCGATGTCAGCGACGGTGAGAACCCCAGGTCCAAATGTCGTTTCACCTTGAGAGGCCTGTATACCACGAGCAGGAACTCCACCCCGACCGCAGGCGCGCCCGCTGGCAGGCCGATGGTTCCCACTGCCCGGGACTCGGATACCCCGCAGGACGTGAGAGGTACCGACGCCGGCGTGAGGGACCGTGGGGCGGTACCGAAACGGACGCTCGCCAGACCGCAGCTCGGGATTGCCTTTCGCGAGCAGCTCACCGACTGTACTGCACGATGCCGCCCCGGTCTGATCGCTATGAACCGCGAACGCGACCGGCCGTTGCAAGTATATCGGAAACGCGATGCGCCAAGCCGTCCACAGTTGACGGCGCTAGTACGCTCCGTGCACTGAGAAGTGCCGCAGACGCGTCAGCGACGCGAGCCGGAGGGCCTTGAGAAGAAACGCACCCGCCGTGCTGTACCTTGGACTACAGCGAACGCGACAGTGATTCCCGGGGCCGAGGAAGGCCTAAATTTAGAGCAAGAACCACGGACGTCGAGCCCTGCGTGTGCTAGGAAGGACGACACATCCACGCAGAACGAGATGGCTGATAGTCTCCCTTGTGGAAAGTTGGAGAACCTCGTCCATCGTGCCCTGAGAGGAATGGAAGACGTAGCTCCACCCCGGTACCCATGCTGACCTAAGTTTCCCGCCTGTGCTGGACAAAGACGAACCGGGGGGCATAGAGTATGAATGGCCGGCCGACGTGCGTGCGCTGCGGGTGGGTGGGATGGCCCTCGGACAGGACTCGAGCAGTGCACGCCTGTCATGCTGAGACGAGTAGGTGCTGAGGAAGGCTCACGAGACGCCTGCAGGGGTAGCAACAAGTGTGAACGAACTGACGTGTCTGCAGGGCAAGAGGAGACCGGGACGGTACCTGTGGGAGGACGACGGTAGATGAGACTGAGAAAATGGGAAAGCAAGGACGACGGTATCGCCATCGTTTGATATGCGGGACGTCCGAGTAAGATTAACGCCTAATGAATGTCAGGCTCCAACATGCGGCAGGGACCGCAGGCGGGGGTGCTGGCGCGACGCAATGCAGAGGGCAGTTCGAAGAGACGCAGGACGAGCGGATGCTCACACGGTCTCTTCAGCGTGAACAACGGCAATATACCGGTCTCTCTAGATGATGTAAGGCACCATGCGGTCGAGAGCGTAAACCAGCGTTTCCTTCTTCGACTGGCCACCGCCACCCGAAACCGCATCCTCCTTATGGCAACCCTCCAGCGTCCGATGTCGGAGAGTTCTTGACAGGCACAGATCTGGATCCTCCAGGCGGGCTGAGAAAACGCCCACGACGGAGCAGAGGAAACGCGGCGCTGCCATCCAAGGCGAACATCCAGCTGTTAAGCTCCGTCCGCCCCCGTGCGCTCCTGCAGCTCGTCCTCGTCTCCTCTCTCCCGTCTCTCCCGCGCGGCCTCCTCCACCGCCCTCGCCCGCACCCCCCACCAGCCCGTCCGCTCCGGCCCCGCAGCGACCGCGTCCCACCCCCTCCCCTCGCCCATGTACGCGCGGCACACGTCCGCCGCGAGCGCCGCCCACCCCTGCGCGCCCTCCGCGTCCCCGCGCGCACACGCCGCCCTGCACAGCCGCCCCACGAAGCCCTCCCAGACCGGCTCGTAGTACAGCCGCTCCGCCTCGAACATGCCCACGTACGTCGCGTCCCCCGCTGCGCCGTGCGCGTCCGGCAGCGACGGGGTGCATGCCCACCGCGCGAGCGCCGCGTCGCGCGCCGCGGCGTCGGCGTCAGCGCGCGCAATGAGGCGGCGCCGCATCTCGCTGAGGGACAGGGCCGCGCTGGGGAGGGAGCACGCGGGGCAGGCGCAGGTGAAGCCGTAGGACGAGAGCAGCGCGTGCTGGCGTGCCGCGCGCGGGAGGGCGGGGTCGGTGTATGCGATGGAGACTTGCTCGCCTGGGCGGATGGGAAAGAGCGCACGGACCTCGAAGGCGAAGGCGGCGAGGTCGAACCGGTAGGCCGCGTTGGGGGAACAGCTGTAGGATGAATTGATCGGGGCTTGGCGACGTGCGTGTGGGCATGAATGGCGCACCTGTGGTTGATTCGCGAGATGTGCTCGCAAACGCCGGCGTACTGGTGTGGGGCACCAGGAAGCGAGCCGACGTACAGGGCGTTCGTGTCGATGATACCCTTGACGAGCGAAGGCTCCTCCTGCTGGGCGTTCATGAGCCCGAAGAATGCCTCCTGCTTGTCTGTTGACATAAGTTCCATCGCACGTTCGAGCTCGGGGTACTGCTGGCCAGCGGGTCGAGTGCTATAGAAGGGGAGCATCTGCGGGTACACGATGAGCGGCCGTTCCCGTAAGACAAGCTCGCCTCGGGCGATATTCGTGGTCGCAAACAGCCCGAGACCGCCCTCTCCCGCGTCAGATATGTGATAGCGAGGCGTCAGTCTAAGTGCGATGGGAGCGAACTTGGCAAGACACAGAGCGGAAGCGTTCTCCGCGTGCAGCAGAGCAACTGAGGCTACGCCTCCCTCATCGGGGCTGACATGGTCGGATATCAGCAGGGTCTCAAATGGCACTGCGTCTGGGGAGATGTTGGGAGTGGAGTTCAGAGGGACATAGTCGTCGAGTACCCGGACGTCTGGGATGGCGACGAAGGACGCAGGTGGGACGTTGTCCGAGGCTTGGCGGATGGAGCCTTGAGAACTGGGGCGATCCACATTGTACATGAGTGCTCTGAATAAAGCCTCGTCAGATGAGGGAATGTAGTAGGGCCCCTCAATTCTTGTGGACGCAGGATGCAGGACCCGTTGAGAGGTCATTAATGGCGACTGACCTGCCGCATATGGCAAGGTACCGATCTCGTTCCTGGTGCCCGTTGTTTCCCAAGAGGTCTACCCTGTCCCAAGCTTGACAGAAAAATATAACCCGCGAGTCATTTGAAGACGAAAGCTTTCGGCGTCGATGAACACTACCCTTGAGAAACTTCGTGAGGGGAGAGGAGTGTCATCCTCGCTTGAGGGGTTTCGAAGGCGAGCTTGTCAGCTAGTATCACCTCCATTAATGGCCTCTGAACGCGTCCTGCATCCACAAGAATTGAGCAGCCCCAGTGTCGTCGAATCGATGCGCACCACTATGTTGCAACTGTTAGTTAAGGTGAGTGCATATACTACTCGCCCGGTACATTCGTGATGAGGTGACGAAGAAAACTAAGGGGCCCCCGAAGTTACGGCTCTTCTTCGTGGCGACTCCGTAGTAGATGATCTTCGTGGAAAGCTTCGTGATGTGATCAGTATGCTTTCAACGTGAATTGTCTTTGTGGCCTACCACGAAATTCTTGTCTGAGCGGTAGAATGGATTGGCGCTAGTCATCGGTCGCATTGCGGAGGACAAGTCGTCTTTTACCTGCCCTGAATTGCAGCGTCGAATTTGGCGTCGTGTTGTTCTCCCATACTTGACTGAGTGCCCTTCAGTTCAATCCTCTGGGTAAGTATATTATTATGCTACAGGACTGGGGCTGAGACTATGCTGGGTAGACTCTATCGCTGTGTCTGCATCTGGGGTCTTCCGTATCTGTCTGGTTCACTCTAGCGGAGCCTATCTCGGTCTTGGCCATCCGACGCTGCCCACACTGACCCCAATCTTGTTTATCAGGTCTCTTTCGAACAGAAACGAAACGCAATGCATCGGCGGGTCCCTCCGGCCCTCGCAGCAATCGCGCATCAAGACCGCGAAAGCCGATCTCACTCACTGCAACAAATCCCTCACCTTCAAACTCAACTGTTCCACGCTGAACTCCGTGGCATGGCCGGTATGCCTACTTCATATAGGCCCTTCGGCATGACGAACGACCGCACACGATCCCTTCGCGCGAATGGAACCGCTTGAGGGCAGTCAGAGGATCGCTCTTGAGACGAGCTTCAGGAATTTGCGTGGGCAGAGGGTGCACTCTCAGCGTGCGCGCAATATGGTGTGTCCCGCTGTCTTCACCATGGCTTCGTCTGACTGAGCCATCCCGCTCTTGTGTTGCACGTGCAGCCATCGACCGCACGTTGGACATGTTCAAGATGAGTCGGAAGTCGTAGTACACATCTCTGTGCATTCTAGGAAACAGTAGGAGTGTATGTAGAGGTGTGTATGTAGAGGTGTGAGGAAGTCCCCATGGTCGTATATATGCAGTTGTGTAGGTCGTTGGTGGTAGTGCATGGTCATTAGGTAGTGTCATTAGGCTGTCGCTAGTAGGGATGTAGCATAGTATCAGTACCCGGCCAGAGTTGCTGTCGCGCCGCCTTGTTGCAGTGTGATATATCTTGTTATGCATCGTATTTTGACGTCTGGCGACGATGCAGGCATTCAAGTTGGATCTTGAAACGTGCTACGCAAGATGTAAAACATACGAGGTGATTTGTGCAGTGATAAAGAGGACTATCCACTATGACCCAGACAAATCACTTGTAACATGCAGGCCCACGGCCTAAAGAAAGGGAGAAGACAGGACGGCTATAAACAGGACGGGAAGTGGCCACGCCAAAAGCCAAACTCTGGACGAGAAGCGCGCGCCTAACAGAGCCGTAACATGAACGTCGTGCACGTGATCGCGCAAACCGCATGGTAACACGGCGGTTGCGGTCAAAGAAGCGGTCGTCGTCCCGTCTTCCATCCAAGCCAAGGCCTTGTAGACTGCTCCGGCTTATGCTCTATGCCTGATACCCATCTCTGATTCCAACTGCGTCTCCTCGCCACACCGCCTCCACCCTCCAACCTCACCAGAGCTTGTCTCGAGTCACAGACAAGCCTCCACGCTCCTTCCGCACCCCTGCCGCTCCCTTGTACAGCTATCTAGGCGACCGCTCAGCATACGCATCACTTCGTATCTTCGTCACCTCGCAGGCGTAACCCCGTCCGTTTCTTCTTTCCAACTCGCAGAAGCTTGAAGCTCGATCGCACAATGAACACCATCGTCTTCTCTGTGCTGCTCTTGCAGAGCGTTTTCGCCTTGTTGGTGCAGGCTACCATCTTTGTGCGTTCCTCGTTCCCTTCACTACGTATGTTATGTGCTGACGAGCGCAAAGATCACGCAACCGCTCCCTGGGTCAGTCTGCAGTGGCGGGAAGGCTTGCACTGTAGAATGGCTCGACAACGGCGTCGCGCCGCTGCTCGTCAACATTGGTGCATGCCATGTCGGTTTGTACTATGGGCAAGAGGTGCGTCTTGAAAATATTAATTGATGCGTACAAGAATGAGTGCTCAAGCGCAACAATCCTCGTCGTGCAGAAACTCATCCAGCAGATCAGCCCCGTCGACGTATCAGCGCAGCACGCGCTCGAGTTCACTCCAGATCCCAAAGCGGGTCCTAACTCGAGCCTCTAGTGCGTCACCCCCCTGGCTCGTGTCCTCGCCGCAGGTAGAGCTTGACATCCATTCTTTGCAGCTACATCAACTTCACGTCTGTCGACCCCATAGACGGCTCGACGTACAGCCAGTTCTCGACGATGTTCACCCTCGACTCCATGAAGGGCTCCTTGAGCTCCGCCGTCGCCAGCGACACCTCTGCGATCCCCGTGCCTTCATCATTAACCACCTCCAGCTCCTCAAGTTCCGCTTCGTTGACGGCATCGACTGAGAGCGTCACCTCGTCCCCAGCAAGTTCGTCTGGCAGCGCGGCCCCGTCTTCCGCGTCTGCATCTGCGTCTGCGTCCTCATCAGCACCCTCAGTCCCTCCATCAGCGAGCGGTTCCGCTGGTAGTAGCTCAAGCTCGAACGCAGGTTCGAACTTCAGCCCTAGCTCAAGTTCCGCCACAAGCGCCACCTCCACCCCAATCTCGAGCACGCCCTCGTCCGCCTCCGCCGCCCCGCCCAGCAGCGCCTCGAGCACGTCCTCCGGCTTCGTCACCTCGTTCACGGGCCCCGTGACGACGCTGACCGTCCCGGCGCCCTCTTCGCTCTCCACGACCGTCGTCAGCTCCGTGTCCACCGCGCCCGCCGCGCCGACCGGCACCGACGCGGACGGGCCCCTCAACAATCAGTCCTCCTCGGCCGCTGCGGCCGCTATGCCACTCTTCCTATCGTCCTCTTGTCTCGTCGTCGTTCTTGCTTTCGTGTCGTAGTGTGTTTTGCGCGTGTTCTTGTTCCTGAGTGCAGCCGTGTGTGTTTACCCCGTTATGCAGACAGCCCCCTCCGCGCTCTAGCGTCTCCTCTCTGATATCCCCGACAGTTGTCCTTCGGCCGCCCTGCGACCCCCACACCCCGCCGTCCTCTGACCACCCTTCGCTCCCTTCGGTCGTCACCCGAGTGGCTTTAATCGAGCTTGCCGTCGCGTTTTTCACGGTCGTGCGGGCCGAGGCGGCACACTCGTACTTTCTTTCGATATCACTGGTACTCCGTCCTGATTTCGGATCGAGCGATAGACTGTCGTAGCGCTACCTCCTGTATCTTTATTGCTCCTGCTCGCGACATCCCGCATGCATACGTTTGCGCCGAGATCTGACTCATGATGCTAGATTTGGTTTGAGTTGTTACAAGACGTGGCATTAATGGGGTAGTGGTAACCTGGGTCGTTGCCATCGACCCGCCGGGGGTTCGATTCCCCTTTAATGCACGTACGCGGACATGAGTATAGTTTTTTAACAGCCAGCCACCTGTACTCGAACTGCAAGTCAACATGTAGTCATTAGATGGCGTCAGAACGCTCGCGTCCATGAATGTGGGGACGATGAGAGGGCAGGCGGGTCCTTGACGTCATCAACTCGTCTGTATGCCGACATTAATCGACACGCAAGTCTAGGTACTGCAACGTACTTGACTTTGCTTTTTGTGCACAGCAAGTGAACGTTGCGCATTCGGGCCGGCCAACTTTGCGTCTTCTCGGGCGTCGGCCACGTCAAGGTTCATCGACATCACCTATAGTCCTCAAGCCGGGTCCTCGGGCCCGTGCTCTCGACCTCTTGCCGCTGCTTACTCTCCCAGCCTCTGCCTGCTGACTTATCCCGCTATCGGACATACTGTACGCGCATCTCATGCATCGCGCTCTCCCCCGCCCCTCTCCTCCTCCGAGATCAGCTCGTGCTAGCGTGCTCGCCGCTCGCCCTCCCCCACGCCTCTCGCTCCACACCCACACTCCCACCTTTAAATCGCCTGCGTCAGTCCGACCGCGGCCTCATCTACGAAACACCACCTCAAGCATACTAAGGACCTCAGCTAGGACTAGGACGATGTCGACGGAGTCGAAGGATGTGCCCGCGGACCCGTCCGCGCTCCAGCCCTCGGCGGAGCAGGAGCTGCCAAAGGCCAACTTCGAGGTGTCCCCCGTGCCCCCGAATCCGCTCGGCGAGGGCCGGTATATCAAGACTGCCGCTGCGCTGGTCATCGGGTACGTCTCCTCTACGTCCGTCTGTCTCGGTCTGTGCTTGCTAGAAGGTCGGGGGTAAGGCGGCGCTGCGGGCTGGGAACGGCTGCGGGCGCGGAGCCCCGCGCTCCCTCCGCACGCGCCGGGGCGGGCAACATAGAGGGAAGCGACTGTGGCTGACCCGGGCTTCGCCGCGCGTGCGCACAGAGACGAGATCCTGAACGGGAAGACGCTCGACCGGAACTCGAACTACTTCGCGCGGTTCTGCTTCGAGAACGGGATCGACCTGTGAGTGCCCGTGCCGTCTCCCGTCTCCCGTCTGGCTTCCCCTTCTGAGCCTTCGACGGCGCAGGAAGCGCATAGAGGTCGTGCCCGACGAGGAAGACGACATGTAAGCACCGTCCGCGCGCATCCCGCGAGGGGGCGTCCGCGCTGAGCAGCCGCCTGTTGTCTGTGTGTGCAGAGTCGAGGCCGCGCGCCGCCTCGTCAAGAACTTCGACTTCGTCATCACGACGGGCGGGATCGGCCCCACGCACGACGGTGAGCCCCCTCCCCCTCCCTGCGGACGCGGGCTCCGTGTGCCTATGCCTATGCCAACTGACACACTCGCTTGCATGGACAGACATCACGTACCAGTCGCTCGCGGCCGCGTTCGGCCAGCCGCTCGCGCACCACGCGGAGACCCTCCGGCGGATGGGCGAGATGATCAAGCACCGGACGGACGTCGCAAACCAGACCGAGGAGCAGCGCGTCGCGCGCGAGCGCATGGCGCTCTTCCCCGCGCACGCGGAGGTTCTCTACATCGCGCCCGACGTCTGGGTGGTCAGTGCCCGTCTTTCCTCTCCGCTTCGTGCGCGCGATCGCGTATGCTGACGGCTCGCCTTGCCCTTGCCTTGACTCGGCGCTGCGTTTGCGTTCGTGCCCGCGCAGCCGGTCGTGCGCCTCGAGGGCAAGCTCTGCGTCTTCCCCGGGATCCCGAAGCTCTTCCAGCGGATGGTCGACGGGCTCGCGCGGCTCCTCCCGCTGCCCCCGCCGGACCAGCGCCCGTTCCGCCAGCAGGTCTTCACAAAGTGAGTAGGCGCCGGCGCACCTTGTCACGTTGTCCTCGGCGTGACCGCGTACCATCACGCTCACCCACGGCGTCGCAGCCTGCCCGAGTCCTCCATCGCGCCGTACCTCACGCGGCTCCAGGCGCGCGTCAAGGACGCGGGGGTGCGCGTCGGGTCGTACCCGCTGCTCGCGAAGGGCGTGTACGTGTCGCTCATCGGGCGCGATCGGGAGAAGGTGAGTGCGCTGGCCGAGGAGGTCGCGCGGGAGCTGCAGGGGCGGCTGGTGAGCGAGGAGGAGGCGCAGAAGGAGAAGGCGGCGCTCTGAGGTAGCGTGGTGTGGCGCTGGGGTGGGGTTTGACGGGGCTGGGGAGATTGGAGGCGCCGGTTGTGTATTGATGGTGTAGTGTGCGGTACGTCTCCTCGCCTGCGCCTCTGTTGTCGCAATTGAGGGGTTGCTGAGCGGGCTTGTGTCTTCTAGATGTTTGTTTATGGAGTATTCGCGCCATTTTGGTCCCCCGCGGAGCGTAGTACCGGACGTACACAAGCTGAAGTCACGTCGGCATCTTCGGGTCCCACCGCGCGCATTTCTTGTGGCTGCCACAGTCTTTCTCCAGGTAGACACTAAGGAGCAAGGTTTCCTCCGCTCCTCTTCTCCTAGCATGCTGGAATTGCACCGGCTATCGTCACCCACATCATATGCACGAGTGATGATGTGCGAGTCCATGAAGCGGTCCTATGCGAGGCTATGTCGCTCGTCAAAGCGCACTTCGAGAGTGGCCTGCGCGGACCGTGCCGCGCTAACGTTGCGTTACACCCCGCTCTCCCGGAGTCCCACACGGATTATGCTACGCGGCTCCTGGCATCAGCCCAGCTGTCAGAGAAGGCGCACCGGGACTGGTGCGGCCGACTCGGAGGGCCCAGATGGCTGTTAGTGGGCGCGCCTTGATCGAGTGTAATCAGAGCCGATCTCGTAGATACTGTTTTTCGGCCACGTTTTCCGGCCAACATCGGGTGTAGTGAGGAGATACCTTGAGCGAGCTGCAGGAACACAGCAGGAACACAGCAGGAAGTTGGAACAACACCTGAACTGGGCCAGCATTCATGTACAGCCTAACATTCCCCTCCCACCCCAGTAGCTAGTAGCCTCCCTCAATTCTCCCACTTTATTTTTTTCCTCTCCTTCTGAGCCGGCGCCTGAATGGTGATGGACGATTGATGTGACCAGAGGCCCCTTCCAGAGCTACTCCCCCGCGCGAATATACCTCAGAAAAAACAGTACACCATGGCTAGAATACAAACTCAGCAACTGAGCTGAGGAGAGGTCAACGAGCAGCGGAACGACGACCGACGCTGTAGACTAAGCGAGGCGGGAGGGCGGGCGGGCGCTTGCTGCTTCAATAGGTGAGGTAGCCGAATGGCGCATCGATGGAGGGTCGCGTCGGGCTCATTCTCCTCCCCCAGCATGTGTCCGGTGAGGCTTCTACTCGTATTCTGGTAGATACACATCAAATGCATGTATGCTTTAAATTTCATGTAGTTCTGACTATGGGAACATGGGGAAAATGCGAAGGTGTTCCACGGGAGACACA